TGATGTTGTCTTGGGGTATGTTCACAAGAACAACATCATTCGCCAATTGCGCTTGTATTAGACATTGCTTGAAAGCGTTGGTTACTCTATCGGACACGAACGGTAAGCATGGTGATATACGTGATCGAATCTGATTGCTACCGTTTGCGCATGTTCTTTTGCGAGATCTGGACTGCAGTTGGTAACCATTCTTAACAGTTATCTCGTATGCCAATTTTGTTGATTCCAGTCTCTCAACTTCACCGCTGCAAACACTGCGCGCTGTTTCAAACATATTGCGAATAATCGCTCGTTTTACAGCAGATGGATGCGCAGACGTGGAATGCAGAATTATAATCTTAGAACTCTCCTTCCGATACCATTTGACGTGTGCTGCTCCATTCTCCAACATCACCTGTGTATTTAGATATGGTAGCCAGCCATCGTGTGGTTTTTTTTTGTCTTGTCAAGCTGATGTACGGTGATTGTTCATTGAGAATTCTAAAGCACTCATCCATTTCGGATTGAGTTGCAGTAGCAATGTAACAATCATCGATGTACCGGCAGTACATCAGGGGACATCGCGATAATACCGGCTCCTCCACTTTGCTCATGAAGCAAATAGCGAGCGCGGGCGCTAGTCTTTGTCCCATCGCTAGTCCTCTTAGCTGTGCATAGTATTGTCCCGACCATTTGAAGACGTTGCATGCCAGGCATTCCTTGACCAAGGAGATGATGCGCGCTTTACTGAGCCCGTATGTTTCCATATTGACAATATGTGAATCGAGAAGCTCAGAGAGCGCTTGTAAGGCGTCATTATTGGACACATTAGTGTATAATGACGCAACATCAAATGACTCCATTACGCAATTCTGGTCAAAATGCGTTTTGCGTAGTTGATCAAGGAAGCGGCTTGTATTCGGCAAATGGGCGGGGATCTTACATAAGAGTTGACTAACGATCTTGCTAAGGAACCACGAGATTCTGTCGGTTGGCCCACCTATACAGCTGATTATTGACCGAATCTTGCAAGACGCAGCAGTCACATCTCGTGGATCAGTTAAGGTGAGTTTATGTGTTTTTACGAGGCCGTAAAAGACAGGTCAAGCCGGATTTTCAATTTTTAGCTTACTAAGAAACTTTTCGTCTAGTCCCGCTTGCTTTCCGACCATCATCCAGATGTGATTAAGTCGCTTGCTTTGAGAAAGGAATTCTTTTTCGGTCGAGCGACGATAAACTCTAGCATCGGATAGATGAAGTTCGGTTATGTTGCGATCGAGCGTTTGCGGCATAATAACAAATTCGCCTCCTTTGTCACTAACAGTGAGACGAATAGTGCCGTTGGAAGTTAATTCGCGCAGCTCTTTGAAATCCTGTCTTTGCGCATATATTAAATTAGATTGTCTCCTACCACGATGTTTGTTAAGAACATTTAAAATTCCTGCCGACAGTATGCGAAATTTAACATCCGCTTCATGACAAGGATCAGTCTCTTTGTAAAAGGATGATGGGAAAGGAATAGGAGGGAGCACCCTTTTACATAAGACAGAGGGAGGCTGCAAATTGTTATCTTGCCTGATTTTTGCGCGCAACTGATCTCTAAAGCGCTGCAAGGATCCTAGAACTTTGCGGTATACCATTGAATTGACCGTTTATGTAGGTGCGAAGGATGGTCCTAAGCTGAGTAGGTCTAGTGCGTTGGCAGATACATGAACATTGCCTATGATAGTAACCCTGGCCGTTTCATTAGCCGTAAGTGGAGCTGAATGAGTAAAAGACCGTTGGTTCACTGGGTGGCGTTCAGCACTGAGTTTACTTAGTTCATGTTCACTAGAGAGTACGTCAAATTTCTTACGGAGTTTGGATTTTGCGTCAGATCGTATAGACTCGCAGGTTCGTCTTGACGCGCTTTCAATCCTCTTCCATGTGTGTTCATTCAACAATCTGCGACACGCTTCTTCCTTCGATTCGCACTTCAGTCGACTGGAGTACAAAATGTACTGCTTTTGTCTTATCGCAATCCTCAGGATGGACTTGTATAAATCACGTATCTTGAGATGAATTTCGGGCAAATTGCAGGTAATTCCCAGTTTATTGTTCGTAATGAAGTGTGGTAGCACGCCCGATGACTTGCACCGTTTAAGAAACTTGAGTGACTGGTTGGTGATGATCACTTTCTGGCGAAGTGCCAACGCTTCGCGGACCAAGGAGTACAAATGTGGCGCCACATCTTCAAGCAGATTGTATGTCTCCTTTTTGTAAAACCTTGGCATGTTTTGTAGATATTGTTCAATTTTCTTTAAGCCGTAACGGGTTTTTAAAGGAACACTTTATTGACTGCCCGACGTTTCGGCTGAATGCCGTCTTCAGGGGTCTGAAAGTGAGTCAATCACTCATAAATCAAACGATCTAGACCACCAGACACTTCCTCCAAACCGTACGCGCTCGCTATTTGCTTCATGAGCAAAATAGAGGAGCCGGTATTATCGCGATGTCCCCTGATGTACTGCCGGTACATCGATGATTGTTACATTGCTACTGCAACTCAATCCGAAATGGATGAGTGCTTTAGAATTCTCAATGAACAATCACCGTACATCAGCTTGACAAGACAAAAAAAAACACACGATGGCTGGCTACCATATCTAAATACACAGGTGATGTTGGAGAATGGAGCAGCACACGTCAAATGGTATCGGAAGGAGAGTTCTAAGAATATAATTCTGCATTCCACGTCTGCGCATCCATCTGCTGTAAAACGAGCGATTATTCGCAATATGTTTGAAACAGCGCGCAGTGTTTGCAGCGGTGAAGTTGAGAGACTGGAATCAACAAAATTGGCATACGAGATAGCTGTTAAGAATGGTTACCAACTGCAGTCCAGATCTCGCAAAAGAACATACGCAAACGGTAGCAATCAGATTCGATCACGTATATCACCATGCTTACCGTTCGTGTCCGATAGAGTAACCAACGCTTTCAAGCAATGTCTAATACAAGCGCAATTGGCGAATGATGTTGTTCTTGTGAACATACCCCAAGACAACATCAAAAAACAACTGGTCCGTAATAGGTTGTATGACAGACAATGCATGATGCAAAATTGCGTTGTTTGCACAGATGAAAGATTAGGAGACTGTTCAAAATGCGGAGTGATTTATCAGTTAGAGTGTAAGATATGCCATGCCATTTACATAGGCGAAACTGGTCGACCACTTCATGTACGTGTCAGCGAACATCTGGCCAGTAAGAGAAGACAGAGTCTCGTAAGCCCTCTTGGGAAGCACAGAAAAGAGGACCATGGAGGAGATGATTTTGAAGTCCAGTGTTGCATTTTGGCCGTCGAAGAACGTATTGCTGCTCGAAAAGCGTTAGAGGCTTCTTTCATACTTGCTCGTAATCCTAAAATGAACAGCAAGAACGAAAATTTGTCTATCACTAGTGATCTGAAGCCGTTTTTACCATTTTGCGAGCTGTGAGTAACCTACACTATATAAGCGTGTCGTACTTTATCGGACCGCTCATTTTGTCATCATTCGCTGTGGGCGACCGTGAGAGAGAGCTGACATCCTTACGCTCCTCACCAGGAACACTTGGTAAGCTGTTCAACTTGAGAACTTATCTGCGTCACAATAGATGAGTCAAGTATACGGTTTGGAGGAAGTGTCTGGTGGTCTAGATCGTTTGATTTATGAGTGATTGACTCACTTTCAAACCCCTGAAGACGGCATTCAGCCAAAACGTCGGGCAGTAAATAAAGTGTTCCTTTGAGAACCTGTTACGGCTTAAAGAAAATTGAACAATATCTACAAAACATGCCAAGGTTTTACAAAAAGGAGACATACAATCTACTTAAAAAAGCAGTGCCATCTTATATATAAAGCTGAATGTCTGTTTGTCTGTCTGTCTGTTTGTCTGTCTGTCTGTATGTCTGTCTGTCTGTCTGTACGTATGTTCCGAATAGAAAATTCCATTTCTCAACCGATCCGGACCAAACTTGTCACACATACACGTCGGGCCCCGGCGGGTGTCATAGGCTACTTTTCGTGATCGATCGATATCGATTTTATCGATTTTTTGCAAAATTTGAGCTACGGGGCTGGGAGTTGGCACAGGGGGGTAATCGAGCATGCTGATCACCCCCATGAGGGTGATCAGCATGCTCGATTACACCCTTCTGCCAAATTCCAGCCCCGTAGCTCAGATTTTGCAAAAAATCGATAAAATCGACATCGATCGATAACGAAAAGTGGACTGTGACACCCGCCGAGGCCCGACGTGTATGTGTGCCAAGTTTGGTCCGGATCGGTTAAAAAATGGAATTTTCTATTCGGAACATACGGCGGAGCCGGGTAAGCCAGCTAGTATTCTATAAGGTTTACTCTATCGAACCGTTACTTGAACTCCTTCTGAGGATTGATACGAAAGTTTTAAAAAATTGTGGAACTTGACTATCTCAAAAGCATGGGTCGCAGATTTCGGTCATTTTCTGAAAGCTCATTGACTATTTTGCAACAATTCCATTCCGATTATAAAGAGAATGAAATTCTGGATCGTATGCCTCCAAGATCTCTTTAAAACCTTTCTTCCTTTAAATGCGGTGTCCGTTTGAAAAAAGCGAAATTACTTTTGAAACGACCTAATATCTTCTTCAAAATTTCATATACTTTTAGAAAGTTGCACAACACTTATTATGTGCTATCTGGTGTCCAGCTGACAATAAAAATCGCGCCTCTTGACATACACCCGAATTATCACTGGTGATGGTGTGAAGGGTAAAACTCAGCACTCTTTTTGGCTATAAACTCGCATAGTTCAAATAAGGTCTCAGAGACAAAAAATGCTAAAGAGAAGTATGCGCTGCTGCATGACGAAGGCGCAATAGCTTTGGGAGCGATCACGGCTTTGTCAACCGCAGAGCGCATGAGGCTCAGGATTCACAACGGTGAGGATACGCGCGCGCCGCGTTTGCACACCTCAATCAATACTGATTTGCGCCTTCGTCATGCAGTAGCCTTTACCTGCGCGATCTTGATGGAAGCGGACGCTTCATCCCAGTTGTCCAGAATACTTCTGAGAGTGGCTATGATATGCTCGTGGACATGAAGAATAGGAGGAATTTTTCCAAAAATAAGAGAAACATCCGCTTTCTGCATCAAAGGATCCCCAGTCTCTATCGCATGTTCTAAATCTGATTTCACCTAAAATGACATTTGATCTCAAGTCAGTACAAGTGTGTAGCATACCTTTACTAGTAATCGAAGTGAATTAGCATAAGATATATCTGTCTCCAGCATTTCAATGCAAATATGATGAGCTCTAGTCGCATTCGGCATGGCATCCTTTTCTGGTGAGAGAAATGATTCAGGCAGTACAAGCGCATTATCCTTTCCAGATGGGATTAAAGTACCTAGAGAAACGTGGAACATAGATTAAGCGCCTTCCAAAAAATTGTATCTGTGAAAGTGGATAAACTCCTATTAAACGGACAGAACACAAAAGAATAACACTCTTTCACGTGATGCTACGGGCAGATCGCACACCCATACAGATGCAATGGTTCCACTACCGCTCCATACCCATAACAGTATTACTAACTAACCGGCGGCCCAGATATCCTCTATTCTTAGACCGCACGCCCTGGCGTTCTCGAACAATCGCAAAAGATTTTCGGGAGACAGCGGTAATCTCTGGCACTTCCGGGGAAGGGAGGGGGGGGGTCTTAAGCATGCTGCCGCGTGGAGCGACCCGTGGGGCGGTCCGCCCGCGGTGACGTCACAAAAAGTCGAGACACGGACTTCCGGTGCACGCACCCTCGGAAGTGCCAGAAACTTGCGAATTCACTGAACTCCTAGGAGTACAGCACCTCCGGGCAGTAAGTGCTCAGCCAATTTGCCGACGCTGATACGCAGCTTAGCATTTTGGAAAATAAGCCGCTGTCACTTGCTAAAACCGTTTTTCTTACTTAACTTCGCGATTTCGTGTTCTTCACCCGTGTCCTTAGTTTTTGCTTTGCTCCTAAATCTTCTTTTGAGTGAAACATGCGGATGCAATTTTCAAATCATCTCCAACCATCATTCTCTATCCTTTTTTTCTTCACGTTTTTGCTTGTATGGTACTACGCCGACAATGTCAAGTGCATCAAAAGGCACAGTCTCTACATTTGATTTCGTTCAAACTTGTGCCTGTTAAAGTTCGTTAAAGTTTCGTTGAAGTTTGTAGTAATGATAAGGTCATCACCGTTCCACATTTTGTCAACTATTTATTTGAGGAAAGTGAATCATAGTTCTGCTCAGATAATCGCCGGGGACAAGCGGCCATGCGATTTACGGGCAAGCAGGCACCGGAAAAATAGTTCGCTGTTCTTTGCGGTCCGCTTGCAGATTAGGAAGAATGTTGGCCAAATTCTAGACAAACGCTCTGAAAACGGCTTTTTTATGAATTAGATGCGGCGCAGTGGCCGCATTCCCGCGGGTTTCTTGCGAGAATTTGCAAAACTATTGAGGACCGCACGGCCCTGCGTGAAAGATCGCACAGCCCGTAGGAACCTTCCGCTGAGGAAAGGTACCCCAAACTCGGAAATACAGGGTGTCCCAAAAAAATGTATCGAACGTTTGATCGTTAATATCTCTCTTCCCAAGAAGTCTTTTACTTTGCTTTAGGTAGCGTTTTGTAAAGCTGGCTTCAACTTAGATTTGCATTATAGAACGAATCACCCACCCCTCTTCATTACTGTAGGATTACGGTAGAAATTTGAAACATATGGTGTCAATGTGGAAAAAGCTGCCGTTTCAAAATCTTTCAAAAAATTGTGAAAACTTGTGTATTGGGGTTTTTATGGACGCCGAGTTCAATACTCAAATATTCACAAGATTACCAAGCTTTCCAAACGGTGTAACCGGACTCTTCAGGAACATTGAAAAAGTGGCCCGCTACCTCTTACCTGGCATAACTCTTCAATGAAGCATCATAATAAATTGAGAACTTTACAGTTATAATCAGCAACTCTAATTAGCCTGGTGTAAAAGTTTTCAGGCTGTTTTGTTTCCTTTCCTGAGCAAAATATGGCCTTTCATTGCTTAAAAACCCTCTTTGAAGTTTCTACCGTAATCCTACAGTAATGAAGAGAGATGAGTGATTCGTTCTATAAAGCAAAACTAAGTTGAAGCCAGCTCTACAGACTGGTACTTGAAGCAAGGGAAAAGACTTTTTGGAAAAGGAGATATTAACGATCAAATGTTCGATACATTTTCTTGGGACACCCTGTATATGGGTAATTAAATCATCGGTGACACGTCTGCCATGTATAGTATTACCTTTGATAGGCGTACGCCCGAAACTGCGTAACTCAGAGCGCTCGCTGGAAAATTGGCCAGCGCTCACTGGAAGAGATTATTTGACGACCGCTCGCAGAAAATTCTGTTTGCTCGCTGGCAGAATGCTACAGCAAAGGAAGTACCGCTCGCTGAAGGTTTGGCCACGCCCCAAAATTCTGCTGACTGCCTGCAGGAAAGCGTATAATTTGCGGACCGCCCGCCCCCGGCGATTATCGGAGCGGGTGATTGCGTATACGTGTAGAAAGAAATTAGATGCATTGTAGAAGAAAGGAGGAAAAGGTCCTTCAATTCTATGTATATTCCACTGAGTCATGATCTTTTTGTAAAAGCGTTGATTATTCATTTTATACGATTTCATTTTTTTATCTTCTTCAAAAGTATGGCAGCAAATCTGTCCACTGATCTCTAGGGTGCATAGCTTGTCTTTGTTTGAGAACTTAGTTCCTCACATGTTCTACCAATCACAACCAGTGGTAAAGGAAGATTGTGTTCTCTTTCTCTTTAAAGGTGCGGTACTTTGCTGGAGACTATACTTCGTCTTCCACACTTTGTGTTGCCCTTTCATAAATGTCGGCCGACTTTTCTGTAAGTGAATTACACTCAAAGGCTTTGAACTTCCCTGAAAACCTACGTTGTACCGCTTTTCTATCATTCATGTTGGGATTAATGGTCCTCACTATATTATTATCACATTTACTATCACCATTTTAGGCTGGCTACATGGGCATTTTTATTGATTATTGGTTGTTTGATACCATGGATTTATTATCGGTTCTATTGTCGTCTGGAACCTGAAATTACTTATATAGCCATGGTTTCTGTTTTAGGTGTAGGTCGATTGTCTAAAATTACAATCACCTCTTTCTTTTGTCGCATTGATTGAAAAAATCGCTCGATCAGGTGCTATTGTTGTTTCGCTATGGGAAAAATTCAACGAATCTCGTTTTCGGCCTCGGAGGCAAGCGTATTTGTTCCTACGAAATGCAGTGGTTAGAACCTCTTTGTTATTCAAAGTTGATTAGACTGAAACGCAGCGTTTTACAGGCATGATATCTACGGCATATTACACCATTACTGACGAAGTGCGCTCTTTGTTTGAGGATAACGCTTTCCATTGGTTGCTTCTCATGGCATTTTAGTACCTGCAAGAAGCGCTTCCTTATGTTGCAAGAACTCTCAAGCAATTCTTCTCCGGAAAATGTGACACTTGCGTTAGTTCAATCCAGCTTTTCTCATTATATTTACTCCGTATTATAGTCTACGCATCAAATCTACTCAAAACCAATGTTCCACCAACTCAGATAATCGCAGGGGAGGCGGTCCGCAAACTCGCGCTTTTCTGGAAGCGGTCAGCAGAATTTTGGGGTGTGGCCAAAGCTTTAGCGAGCGGTACTTTCTTTAATGGCTAATGTTCTGCCAGCGTCCAGCAACACAGAATTTTCTGCAGGCGCTTGTCAAATAATCTCTTTCAGCAAACGCTGGCCGAACTTTCAGCAGGTGCTCGGACTTTTTTAAACAGTTTCGAGCATACGCCGAGCAAAGCTGATATTCTATGTGGTAGAGGTGGCACCAGTGATTTAATTGACCAAGTTTGGGGTACCTTCTCTCGGCGGAAAGTACCTGGGGACTGCGCGGTCCTACAAAAAGGACCGTGCGGCCCCCGAAAATTTTGCATATTTTCGCGGAGAGTCCGCGAGAATATGCAAAAATTTCGGGGGCCGCACGTTCCTTTGTGAAGGACCGCGCAACCCCCAGGTACTTTCCGCTGAGAGAAAGTACCTCAAACTTGAGTAATTAAACCAACCTCAGATAATCGCTGGGGGCAAGCGGTCCGCAAATTCGCGCTTTTCTGCAAGCGGTCAACAGAATTTTGGGGCGTGGCCAATCCTTCAGCTGGCGGCACTTCTTTTACGGTCGCATAATCTGCCAGCGGGCAGCAATACAGTATTTTCTGCAAGCGCTCGGCAAATTATCTCAGCGAGCGCTGGCCAAACTTTCAGCAAGCGCTCGGACTCTTTTTAAGCAGTTTCGGGTGTACGTCGAGCACAGGTAAGACTCTGTGTGGCAGAGGTGTCACCGTTGGTTTAATTACTCAAGTTTGAGGTACTTTCTCTCAGCGGAAAGTACCTCAAACGAAGTTCAAAGGCGAAGTCGTTCATATTCCCTTTGGTCCCCTCCAATACGCCCTTTGACTTCAGGCGAGTGCAGTTTCCGGTCAGGCCTGCACTCGCTATGACGATCATCAAAGCGCAAGGACAGTTCTGCGAGCAGTAGGAGTAGACCTGGCTCCCTGTTTTTTCGCATGGTCAGTTATACGCGGCGTGTTCAAGGGTCGGGAGTCCGGCGAACCTTCAATGCGCCCGAAGGAAGCACAGCTAACGTAGTGTATCCCAGGGCGCTAACATAATTGCATGCTGTAGTATAGTACAATATTTATTTGTTGCATGCCATTCTATTGGAAAACCCAAAAAATCGAAACAAAATCCAAAAAAATGGCAAAACGAAAACCCAAAAAACTGGCGGCTAGCGGCGGTCAAGGCATGTGGGTGGGACAAACAAGTAGCTGAACAGATCCAGTCAAGCCTCCTTCCTTACTGATGAGCAGGGTCAAGCGTGTTGATGCGATCCGGAACCCTTATTTATGACCCCCGCCCCCTTCAAGGTACCCATCCGTCGACCCCCCCTTCCCTTCCCCCATCCTCCCCATCTATGCCCCTTACCTCCCCTGCCCACATTCCTCGCGGTAACCTGCATAAACGAATGTCAATCTCAAAAACACCCGCGTGAGAACTCCAGTAAGGTTTCGAAAGCAGAATTTCTAGGCCAATGGGTGCGCCCAGCATCTGTAGCACACATACACGCCTTCAATAATGTTTGAGATTCTGCAAGATTTTTTTTTGAATTTTCAGGCATACTTCAGACCAGCATTATTTTTTGCATGGAAAAAAATGCATGGTCCTGGACTACAAAAAATGTTTTCGTCTAAGAAGCTCACTTCCTACCTCTTCCACAGTTTTTCCCGCGAAAAAAGCCGCTTTAGCGCCGTCCAGAACGATGTCAAAAACGTGCAAGA